GGCATAGTGGTTAAGTTTGCGCACTCCACTTTGGTGGCCTGGGGTTCATGGGTTCGGATCCCTGGTGCGGACCTACACACTACTCATCAAGCCATGCTGTGGCGGTGTCAAAAATACAAACAGAGAAAGGTTGCCACAGATGTTAGCTCAGTGACGATCTTCCTTACCAAAAAAAAAAAAAGGGAGAGAGAGAAAGAAAAAAAGACGACTGTGTGCCCGGAATTTGCATGCTTGTCTCCTCCACTGAATTGGTGAATGAGTCCCCAGAGAGCCCAACCCAGGTTTAGACTCTGTGAACCCACCACTCTCTCCCATCTGCTGGGTTCTTAGTGCTGTTAATCAAAACAACACATATGTCACTCTCTTATGGACTTTAGAGTAGCTTCTAGCAGACTAAGGAAAGGAATAAGACAAGGGATAAATTTTTAGATGCCCCTACCAGGTGCCAGGGCCTAAGCCAGGTGCTTTCACAGGCATTATCAACCTCCTACAATCCCCCAACAGCCCCAGGGAGTAGGCGTCCATGGCCCCACTTTACAGACGAGGAAACTGAGGCTCAGAGAGACACTAACCAAAGATCACACAGCCATTGCAGAGCTGGAATCCAAAACAGGTCTGCCCAACTCCCCAAACCTGCTTTCTTTCCATCACCTGAGCCCACGTTTGAGCACAGAACCAAGGCTCCCTTTGTCCTCCTTCCCCCAGACTCCAGATTTCTAAGGAAAAGAGGGCAACCCCAGAACGGCAGAGATGCCCCCAGCAGCGCTTAGGCAGGAGCCCTGAAAAGGAAAACTGGAGCCGACGCTCTGCTTCCAAACACCAGAGGGCGCTGTGGGTCCAGGAAGGGAGGATCACGGAGCGGCTCCGCGGGGTTCTTCCCCCGAAGGCTCCGGTCCCCCAGAGAAGGACTCTCAGGATGCACCAAAAGGAAGCTCCCTGGAGACTGCACACTTTGTCCCTGTTTTTATTATTTCTAAATCTTTTCTACCTGTGGGGCTCATGGTCCAGTTGATTCTGCAGACCACGTCTGCATGGATTACGGACTGACGCAGGCCCCACCCAAAGGAAAGCTTATGCAGACATCCTCATCGTGCTTATTAATCTTCTCAACATCGAAGAACCAAGGGGCAGGAGGGGCACGGAGGTCATCACTCCCTCCCTGCTCTCCCTGACCACCTGAATTGTTCCAAACCAGCCCAGAGCAGTGGCTAAACCCCTCATCATCATCACCACCAAAACGAAAATTATGATAGAGAAACGAGAAGAGCAGCGTCACAGTTACTGAGCGTGGCTGTGCCAGGCGCTGTGTCAAACCCTTGATGTCTAGTTTCTCCTTTAATCCTCCCAGCAACCTCATATGTAGGAACCACTATTATCGCCTCTGCCTCCTTTCATGGAAAAGGAAACTGAGGCTCAGAGTAGACCAAGGACAGATACACTTAAGGTTAACATGAAGTGGAGCCAGAATTTGAAGCTAGATCTGCTCCACTGCACAGTCTGTGATCCCTCCACTGACTCTAGCTGGCCCTTGGTCCTGGATGACAGTGGTCTGCATTCCTCTCATCCATTCACCCATTTGACAAGCATTTATTTAATCCCAGCTGTCTCCCAACCCCTTTGAAGGAGGATCCATCCCTCCCTTTCTCTTCTTCCATGTCACCAACACCTGAGCTGTGGGCAGCTCTTTTGGGGCATCCCCTAAAATGCTACCTTCCCCCTTTACCTTAGCCTGATTTCATATATAGTAAAACACTGAGAGAGATTCACTCCAAGAACCCCGTGGTAAATATGAGGTGGAACAGGAACTAGAGAGGAGACTAGCTTCCAAAACAAGGGGCAGAGGCAGCCCAGGACCACGGCACCGCACAACAGTCTTGGGCATTTCATGGGGGGTGCCACAGAGAGGCAGTGTCGGCCTGGGAGGGTCAGGAGGCCAAGTTCTCCAGCAGTTTTCAGCTGTGTGACTTTGCACCAGTCACTCACCTTCTCTGAGCCTCAGTTTCCTCAGCTGCTGGGGAAGGGGAAATTCAATTGGCCCTCCCACTTCCTTTCATCTTAATAATAACCAGTGATTGTGTTTTCTAGCCATCTTACTGTGTGACCTTGAGAAGGTCACTTGACCTCTAAGCTGTGTTCTCCTCATCTGTGAAATGGGCATTGCAGTGCCTTCCCCGAAGTGTTGTCTTAATGATGAGACATAAAGTATGGGACATACCGTGCATGGTGCCTGGCCCTCTTAGAGGCCAATGCACATGGTCAGGTGGTTAACTACAACGGCAAAAATGCAAAACTACACAGCCAGAATCATAGTCATATGATTCCTAGACCTACCAGGCTCCAGTCCATCCAGCCCCCCAGCACTCTGCAATTGCTTCGGAGAGAATATTCAAGCAAAGAAACTGTTTGTTACGCCCTGTCCCAGCGCATTAGTCCCCAGTGGCTTTCTTTCCTCGGTGGACTCTGTTGGTCCCCTTGACCCACCCTGACCCCCTCATCCTTGTGGGGGAAGCAGAGACTCCAAGTTACGGAAGAGAGCCCCAGGGGCTCAGGCTGGGGCGGGCTGATTACCAAATCTCAGAGCTGCCGCCTGCAAGGGCCTTTGTGCATCATCTCCTCCCATCACCTCATTCTTACAGATGAAGAAGCAGAAGCTCAGAGAGGCAGGTGACTCACCCTCGAATCATACAGCTAATATGTGGCAGAATCTAGACTCAGACTTTGCTAAAAATGCCCAACTGCAGGAGAATGTCAACCGAGGACAGAGCCGGAAGTGCCAGAGTCTGTTCAGCAGCCCGTCTCTCCTGCCAGCACTGAATACGTGAGGAGGTCTCCCAACTGCAACTGTGACCCGCAGCTTCCGGTCCTGCATGTGGTGCCGCAGGCAGGGCTTGGGGGCACCAGGGAGGTGCCTCCAGGCCTCAGGAGAATAAGGCTGCCTATCCTGACCTCAACGGGAAGGGACGAGTCAGCGAAGCACCTGCTGCTCAAGGGAGAAAAGAGGCCTGGCTGTTCCTGCTAGTGACACCAACATGCAAGAAGGACAACACGTCAGTCAGAGGATAGGCCAGTCCAGGAGTTGCTGGACCCTTCAAGGGCTCTGACAGCCCCAGTCCTGACACTGAGGAGCATCTGGCTGTCCTGGTAAGGCCCTGTGCTCCGGCTCTGGGCCCACAGGAACCAAGCACGCCGGCAGCTACAGAAGCAGTTTCTGAATCTGTGCACCTAGGTTCCAGGCGCCCTGCTTTTTAAACCACACGGAACCATGGAGAGTGGCCGCCGTGAGCCCCATTTTAGGTGTCAGGAGGCCCAGACTCAAAATTGATGGCAGAGCTAGCAAGTGGCAGAGTCCCCTGAACCAGGTCTGCCTGGTGCAAAGCCATGTTATGCTGTGTGTCACACTGCCTCTCAAAGTGCTCTATATTCTTGTGCAGTACCTGTTGTGTGTGTGTGTGTGTGTGTGCACACTGATGCTTTTAATAGGGATAAAAAAAGAGGAGTTCAATATGGAATAAATGAAGACACCAAGAAATACGAGGGGGAAAATAAATACTCTCACGACTTTGTTACCCACAGACAACCAGTGGTTAAGGACGGGGGTTTGCCCTCAGAGTCTCTCTCTCTCTCTGTCCTCTCTCCCTGTCTGTCTGTCTGTATGTCTGTCTCTTTCTCTCACATACACAAATATATGCAGACACACATGCACACACAACTGGGGTCATGTTGCATAGATATTCTGCAGTGTGTTTTAAGAATTAGCAAAATATTATCTTCATTTTCTAGATCACTAATGATTCTTCCAAATGTGATTTTGCATTTCTGGATGACATCTCATTATTTAGCTGTATAATGACTTATTTTACCCTCTGCCCATGACGCAGCATTATGGTTGTTTCTGGTCTTGCTTATAAATTACACTGAATGAAACCCGTGAGTGTGTACTTGCACGTACCCTTGACTTACCTCCTTAGAGTAAGTCTCTAGATGTGAAAGGACTAAATAAAAGGTACTTACAAGGAGAACATGGGCAGGCCACTGAGGTCTCTCGGTCCACTGTAATTGAACATAGTGGCACCTGGTTTACACAACCAGCCCAGGGCAAGGAGCTCACGTGAGCCTCCTCTGAGCAGCGATACCATCCCGGGGTCCAGCGGCTCCACGTTCTGAGTCTACAAGAGCCTGGACTCTGGTGAAATAATCAACATAAATGTATGCTATACAGTCTTGTGGCTGCCTCTCCTGGGAAACGGAGGATATATTTTTAATAGCTGGTGTGAGTGGAAAATGGCATTTTAGTGACTCTCTGCTTTTTATTTCTCCTTATAGGCTAACACCAGAAGAAAGCTTTCCTATTCCAAAGGAACGCCCTATGTCCCAGGCTGTGTCGACCTTGTGCATGTTATGATAAAGGTGAAAGAAGGTGCAACATTCATACATGGGGAGAACGTTTATAGGCTCTGTCCCTTGTCATCTCCCCTTTAAACTTCTGCAACCATCTCCTGACTATTGCCCAAATTCCTCTGGTCTCCCCTCTCTCACATCTATCGGCACCTGCTATTCAAACACTCTCAGCAGGTCTGACCACGCACAGACCCTTCAGTGCCTTCCTACCACTGCAAACAAGGCCTAAACACGTTTTGATATTTAATGCCCTGCATGCTGGTCCTTGGGCCACTTCTGCAGCTCTGTACCCCACCCCCTATGAGTGCCATCTAAGCATTGCAAACCAGCCACCTCGTGTGCAAACACTTTCCTCCACTTACCCCTACATAATGCGCACACAGTCTTCTCTCTACCTGGAAGCCCTGACTGCCGTGCACACTTCAGTGCCCGAGTCAGGAAGGACACACACTGAGGCCGGGAGCTCAGCCCAGGAGACCTCTTCTCTCCCATCCACATTCTTACCAGGCAGCACAACAGTAGCACACACCTCTCCCAAACGCAAACCTGCCCAGCCAGCCACCCCGCAGCCCTGGAGGGTGTGAGAAAAGGGAGAGGCTTACCTTTTCACCCTTTTCTCCTTGGACAAAAGGTCCTCTGCCCTAGAAAAGGAAAGCAGAAGGCAAAGGTTCAGGACAGAGCATCTCCCTGGCGTGACATCACGCATGGGGCAGCACCTGGGATTTGAGATGGTCAGACGCTTCCTCATCAGCTCAGCCAAGGGGCCTCCAAAAGAGGTGATAACTATGTATTTATTGAGTGCTGATTCTCTCAAGTATCATCTAATTTTGCCAATAACTCAATATTATGGTACTATTCTTTTTTTCCATATCAGCATTATTGAGATATTATCCACATACTGTGTAATTCACCTATTTAAAGCGTACAATTCAGTGGTTTTTAATATATTTACAGACTTGTGCAACGATCACCACAATCAACTTCAGAACGTCTTCATGTCCTCAAAAGACCTCCATACCCATTAGTGGTCACTCCCCATCTCCCCCCATGCCCTGCCCTAGGCAAACACTAATCCAGTTTCCGTCTCTCTAGATTTGCCCACTCTGGACATTTTATATGAATGAACTTATACAACATGTGGGCTTTTACGACTGGCTTCATAGCCATTCTTTTCTTTCTTTCTTTCTTTCTTGTTTTTTTTTTTGAGGAAGATTAGCCCTGAGCTAACATCTGCTGCGAATCCTCCTCTTTTTGCTGAGGAAGACTGGCCCTAAGCTCACATCCGTGCCCATTTTCCTCTAGTTTATATGTGGGACGCCTGCCACAGCATGATTTGCCAAGCGGTGCCATGTCCCCACCCGGGATCCAAACCGGCGAACCCTGGGCCGCAGAAGCGGAACATGCGCACTTAACCGCTGCGCCACCAGGCCGGCCCAGCCAATATTTTTTTAGCAAAGCATTTTCAAGGTTCATCCATTGTTGTAGTATGTATCAATACTTCATTTTATTACAGAGTAAGTGCCATTGCATAAATATAACACACATTTTATTATCCATTCATCAAGTGATTGACGTTTGGGTTGTTTCTACTTTTTTGGTTATTATGAATAACACTGCGATGAACATTTGTGTGCAAGTTTTTGTGTGAACATACATTTTCATTTCTTTTTGGTATATACGTGGGAGTGAAATGGCTGAGTCATATAGTAATTCTATATTTAACCTTTTAAAGCCTGCCAGACTGTTTTCCAAAGGAGCTGGACCATTTTACACTAGCAATGTATGAGGGTTCCGATTTCTCCAAGAGCCCAGTTGTTCTAACCTTATTGAAAGTGAGGTATTGAAGTCCCTAACCATTGTCATTGGATTATCTATTTCTCCTTTCAACTCTGTCAGTTTTTGCTTCATGGATTTTGGGGCTCTGTTGTTAGTGCACATATGTTTATAATCGTTATACATATTTTGGAGGATTGACGCTTTTATCACTATGAAATGTCCCTCTTCTTTTTTATTAATTTTTGGTTTTAAAGTCTATTTTGTCCGATGTTAGTATAGCCATTCCAACTTTTTGTGTTTTCTATTTTCAGAATGTATATTTTCCATCCTTTTGCTTTCAACCTATTTGTATCTTTGATTCTAAAATGTGTCTCCTGCGGACAGGATATAGTTGGATCCTGTTTTCATGTCCAGTCTGAAAACCTCTGCTTTTTAGTGGGTTTGTTTAGTACGTTCACATGTAATTTATCATCGATATAGTTAAATTTACATACGCCTTTTTACTTTTCGTTTGCTATGTCTCCTGTCCTTTTTTGTTCCTTTATTCCTCCTTTACTGATCAATTTTGCATTACATGAGTACTTTTTAGTGCAACATTTTAATCTCTTTAATGATATTTTCACCACATATTTTTGAGTTATTTTCTTGGAGGTTGCTCTTGGTTTTACCATATACGTTTTACTTTATCAGGATCCACTTCAGATTTATACTAACTTACTTCCAGTGAGGTTGAGAAACATACTCCTATGCAGATCTATTCCCTATTCCCCCTCTTTCTTTTTGCTATTATTATTATACATATTTGTTAAACACTCAATAATACATTGTCATAATTATTACTTTGGACTTGTCATCCCACTGCATTCTGGCCTCAACTCTTTGATGGTAAGTCAGCTGATAATCTTATTGGGGTTTCCTTGGACATGATGAGTCATTTTTTTCTCTTGCTGCTGTCCAAATTTTCTCTTTATCTTCCAGCATTTTTGCCCTGATGTTTCTGAGGATGGATCTCTTTGTGTTTATTTCGATTGGAGCTTATTGAGCTTCTTGAATGTGTAGATTACTGCTTTTTTGCCAAATTTGGGATTTTTTAGCCATTATTTCTTTGAATGCCTTTTCTCCTCCTTTCTCTCTTTCTTGTACTCCCATTATGTGCATATTGGTGTACTTTACGGGTCCCCACATTTCTCTGAGGCTCTTTTCATTTTTCTTCATTATTTTCTCTCTCTGTTCTTCATATGATGTAATCTCTACTGATCTATCTTTAAGAATGCTGGCTCTTTCTTCAGCCAGTTCAGATCTACTGTCGAGTCTCTCTAATGATTTTTTTTTCCAGTGATTATAATTTTAAACTTCAGAATTTCCATTGGTTCTTTCTAACAATTTCTCTTTATTTGTATCCTGTGTTTGATGAGATATTGTCACAATGCCTTCCTTTACTTCTTTAACAATGGTTTTCTCCAGTTCTTTGAACATAGTTTTAGTGGCTACTTTGTAAACTCTGTCTGTTAAATCTGACATCTGTGCCCTCTCACAGGCAGTTTCTGTTGCCCCATTTTTTTCTGGTGCTTAGGTAAGATGCTAGGCCCCACCTCACCCAATTGATGTGAGGGTTAAATGAGCCTGAAATCTGTAAAGCACATAACACAGAGCCGGGCACACAGTTAGTGTTGTGAAATGTTAACAGCTCTTCTTCCTTCCATGTTATTTTGCACAGAGCAGGTGCTTCCTACCTATATGTAGGAGGTAAGCATGTACAGCATAGGTGACGGGGTGGCACAGCAAGTGAGCACAAGACTCAGATTAAAACTGGTGCAGGATCAAATTCTTCCTCTGCCACATCCAGGCTCCATATCACGGGCAAGTCATTCAAGTCTGAAAATTCTGTGTCATTCCCATTAGGGAAGTGAAGAGACTATGTTTAAAATGTTGTAATAAGGAGAAATGAGAGAATCCATAGGAAGCACCTACGAAGAGCAGATGGTACAGCTTGGCAATGAGCTGTTGGATGATGACAGTGTGGGATACTGAGTGAATCGCATTTGACAGGTTAATTCTTCAAGGGGACAGGCTTTGTCTTGTAGTCTGGGGTTTCCCCCTGAGCACTGAAAACCTAGAAGGAACTAATTATAATGGAAAATAAAGACAACTGCCATTCACTGACCATCTCCAATGGATCAGGCATTTTATAGACAAATAGTTCCTAGGCATTCAGCCCATTCTAGCTGACATGCATGTTTGGGGGAAAGCACTGGGTCTCCCACACTAGCCATGCAGAGAGGGGGCTTGTTACTCACCACGTCGCCTTTCTCTCCCTTGGGTCCAGGAGCTCCAACCAGCCCAGTGGCTCCCATGTCTCCCTGAGGGGTTGAAACCAGAGATGAGCATTGGGTCAGGTCCTCCAACAGAGCTCCCCGACACAGGCTGCCTACCATCAACCTTGCCCCAACTCCCTAGAAACCTCTGATTTTATCATTGCTGACTGCACCAAGAGTCCACGCTTGCCACCCCTAGAGACGGAGGAAGCATCTGAATAATTTCCCCAATCTCTTAATCCCAGGAACTAGGGACATCTTGGGAAAGAGAGTAGATGAAAGCATCGCACGCTTGTCCCTGGGAATGGCCATGCTGCTGGTCCATGGCCAGGCCCGCAGAAGGGGAGTTAGAAGCCCCAGGTTCAAACCCTGCCCTGTTGCTTAGCATGAGAGCATCATTGCTCTTTGGGCCTCGGGCTCCTCCTCTGTGAACGGGCATGCTGTCATGAGCACACACAAGACTAAGAGCACGGCGGTGCTTTGAAAAGTGCCAGGGGTCAATCAGGGTTCCCTGATTATGCCATTTGTGTGACGAGTCTGTGCCCACGAGGGCCCTGGACCCTCACAACTGTCCATGAAGAGAGGGAGGGCAGGCAGAGGAGAAAACAGTGTCTGCAAGGGAAGAAAAGATTCACCAAGGGCCAGGCATGGTACTGGAGCCCAAATCTCCTACTGGCCCATGAGGCAACCCAAGCCAGGCTTGGGTGCACGACACGGGAGCCCTCAGTCAGTTTCTTCGAGTTTTCTTTTCTCTCAGTATGCAGTTTTATTTTATGCTTTACACTCTGAGAACACATAGCTACTTTGTTTATGCTGTTCCTTGGCCTTTAATGCCCTTCCCTGTCTTATTTCTCCTGAGCAGCTCCTGTGCATCCTACTGGACCCAGCTCAGCAGGGCCTCCCACAGAAAGGCATCCTGAAGCCCTCCCCGGTAGCTTTAGGGCGTCTTCTTTCGGCCTGGCTCTCCCCATATGATGCTCCACTCCTCTCTCTTCCCACTGGGCACAGGGCTCTCTGTCATTCGCTGTCAGGTTCCCACATCTACAACAGGCCTCGGCCCCCAGGAGACACCAGGCTGTGACTGCAGACACTACCTGAGCTAAATCTAGATAAATGGAGCCATTGGGAACACAGCTGCTTGCTCAGTGTCTTAACCATGGGTTAGGACCATTTGTCTGGTGATGCTAAAGGGCCATGTTTGCAAATTAGCTCTGGGGGAGCCAGGCCTGCCCCCAGGTGGACGTATCTGTTCCCTCCTTAGGATTCCTTCTCCCCCACCTTTTGTCTCCCAGTGTCAGGGGTCAGGCTCTGCTGCCCTCACAGCCCTGGACCTGTTCAACATTGGCAAAGACATTCCACAAACAAGCACTACTCCAGACAAACATTTTCTACTTATAAGTTCACAAACCCCTAGATGTCTCTGCTTTTTTCTTCCATCTGACAGCCGAGGAGCTGAGGTCATAGCCCAGGCGGTGCTCAGTGAGGCAGAAACTCCTGCTCCCCTTCTCACACCAACTGCCTAGTCCCCTGGACCGCTGCTCTCAGTAACAGGGGAGGCGAGCCAAGGAGGCTGTGTGTGTGTGATGGGGTGTGTGTGAGATGGTGTGTATATGTGTGATGGAGTGTGTGTGTGATGGTGTGTGCACATGTGATGATGTATGTACCTGTGCTCCCCATCTAGCAGAGCAGGGGGCAGAGGAGGGCAGGGCGAGAAAAGAGGGAGGGAGATGAGGGACTCACATACAGAGGCAGGGAGGAGGGAGAAGAGAAAGACTAAAGGGACCTTAGCAGGGGCTCAAGAATGATGCACTGAATAAAGGCAAAACTAAGCAACGCAGGAGAGGGAGAGGAAGTGAGGGAAGTCATCTCTAGGTGTTTCCACCACCACTCTCCGTGCCTCTTTCAAACACCAGACCAGGTAGTGGCCACTGGATGATGCTGACCTCTTCCACCCAGCCCTTGGGTGACCATGGCAATTTGCATCTCCCTGGGTCGTGGTTTTCTGAGACCAAAAAACGATGCTGGAAGAGAGGCCTGTCTAGCTCTGCAAATGTTATATCCCTGGGGAATGATGGTGAGAGAAAGGCAGCCATGACTGAGGAGAGAAGAAAGACCCCATGAGGAAACACTGGGCTTTGAGCAATTAGTGAGTTTGGAAAATTTGTGCAAAAACAATTTCATGCGGGTTAAACAAACAGAACACACAGTCTAAACAAATAGACTTTTAAAGGTCCAACCCCCAGAGTTTCTGCAATATAGATGCCTGAAGGATTGATGCAGAATTAGCTGACCACGGAGAGCTAAGCCTGTTGGAACGAACAGGATCTGAGCCAGGGCTGTGTAACCCAACCCTTTCTTGCTCAGACTTTCAGACTCAGAAACGGAGGTTCTGATCAGTGAAGAGCCTCAGAGGTTCCAAACTTTGTGCCACTTGCTCTATCCTTCTACCTTAACAAGCTTGAAAGCAAAATACCGCAGGATAGTGATCTGACAAACCACTTTTTCTCTTTCTTATATGGAGAGCAAAGCAAAGGATTGCTTGGGCTCTAAAGTGCGCCTCTGCCAACTCCAGTACTGACCTTTGGGCCGGGGAGCCCTGCGGGGCCATCAGAGCCCTTTTCACCCTAAGGGAAGAAAGGCAAAGGAAACAATTAAGGCTCCGTTTTCATTTTTCCCCTTCCTCGTCAGTAGTTAGTTATCCACCCTACAGGCTCATGAGCCAGTCTCTTGGTAAGCCATGTGCTGACCAACAAGTTGGACAAGAAAACTGGTTTTTTGGAGCTGAGAGCCCCCACTCTTGAACTGTAAACCTCCATGGGAACTCTGACATCGTCTCCAAATGCAGCCATAGGTGAACTGAAGATAGAAACAAACAAGGTGGCACCCTACCGCTATTTTTACCTGAATATGCCGTCAGTCCAATTAAAAAAAAAATCATGTAGCCTGCTAATGGTTCATATAACCATTATTCACTAAAATACAAAACAAGGCACAAATACAATTACAAGTTGTACAATTGTACCATATGATACAAATATAATACAAAACAAAATAATGGCTATAGGCTACTTCTAAAACTAAACATTGTTCACTTTTTAAAATATGTGCTATTTGTGTAAAAGATCTTATTATTGGATTTAAAAATGTGATCTGTTACGTTACAGATGCATGTAAACAGGCATACTAAAAACAAATGCAACGTGATTCATGCAATGATATATGTGTAAATCTCATCACATTCATGAAAACTGACACCATATCCATTTACACATATGAACCACCCATCACTAAAAACCATATACACTCCTGTCACAGTTGTGTACTTAGCTACTTCAGGAACATATTTTTGTTAATGGATTCACAGATGTCATTTATACATGCAAATGGAGATCAATGATTCTCTGTGTGTGTTTGACCTCACATGGTGCCCACCAGACTACCTGTACACAGTTCATGCTCACCATGATGTTTGGCTCTAGAGATGGAAACGTGGACCCAAAAGGCATCGTGTTGAGCTAGGTGAATAATGGGAATGTTTTGTAAACTGAATCTAAGATTTAAACCACCGGAAGCCACGCCTGCCCATGGCCAGAGGTCCTCCTCCCAAGAGAGAACGCTCAGACCTCCTGGGCCGCTTGTGTTGCATTTTCTATGGAATTGAAGATGGAAGAGACAGGCAATGTCTGTTTAGTGAAGTGGTTGTTGAGGCCTCTTCTGAGGCAAGCAGAAAAGAGGCCCCCTTCCCACCCCCTGTGCTCCAGAGGTTCTTGAGCAGGCCTGGTGGTGAGCTCTCTGGAGCTGCACAGGCCTCAGCGCTACTGGGTACCTCAGCCAGGTGGTAGACTTTCGAGGACCACGTCTTCTGTATCTCATAGCCTCAGTGCTCAGCACACAGTGGATTCTTAAGGTTTCTTGTCAAATATAAGGGATGATTAATTGAATAAAGGAAGGGGTTATTGGGTGAAGCCACCCAGAGTTTGAGGCCAAGAATTTGTGAGTTGGTTGATAACCTTGAACAGCAAGGCCTTGTCCTGCCAGCGAGAAAGAGAGGGTGTGTTCATTTATCCCTTCCTCTCATCTGCCCATCCACCACCTATCCTTCCATCTTTCATACCCTGATCCACCTACCCATCAATTCAACCATTACTTAATGATGTCAGGCTATATATCAGTAGCTAAAAATACAGTCATGTCAAGATTCAATCTCTGCCATCTGGAACTAGTGTTATGGAAATAAGGCAAGTAAATATTTTTAATCCAATGTGATAATTGTTACGGTAGATGGAGTTATGACAGATGGAAGCACAGGGAGAGAAAAGGGTCACAGAGTCTTGGAACTGGCAGGTGCTGAATAAATAAGTTATTGAATGAATGGATGGTGAATAATGGGAGGGAGAAAGGAAGGAGTTAAGGGAGGGAGGGAGACAGGAGAGGGGGCAGGGGGAGGGAGGAAGGAAATCACATAGACTATAATGTGCTGGGGAAAGGATTCCTTGGGGATGTCTTAAAAGAGGAGCAGGCATTAGCCAGATGAAAGAGGGGGAGTGAGAAAAGATGTTCTAGTCAGAAGGGGCTGCATATGCAAATGCCAGAAGGCAAGAAAGATTATGACCCCCTCCAAGGAATAAGAAGTTCTTGCCTTGAGTGGAAATTGGGAGGGGAAAGTGGAGTGAGATGAGGCCAGAAAGGCAACTGGGGACCCCCCAGAGGCCACACAAAGTGGGAGGACTTGGGGAGGGGATCCATAAGCCCAAACAAGGAGGTGAGTGGGGAGCCCGGGGATGTTTAGAGCTGGGGAGTGGGCAGATGGGGGAAAAGGAGGATGGAGGCCTGCTTCACCCAGACTTCCCACGGGGGTCCATGCCAGGGACCCCAGAAACCTCAGTGAGATGCATCCAGGACATGGGCCTGGCTCTAGGAAAAGCTGTGGACTGGACAGAGCTAGTGCTGGCCACCCTTCCTGGCACAGTCTGTCTGTGTGCACAGTGGCTGGTGGTCCAAACCTTTAAAAAGCTGTTACCCTTCTCATTCTGGGTTCTTAATGGAAAAGGATTCCGAAGGATTTGGGTTTAGACAGACAGCTGCTTTTGTTATTTCATTGACAGGCGAGAACTGGATCAACAGGTTGTCTGTTGCCACCCTGAGCCTGCCAGGGGGCAGAGGAGGAGCCTGCCCAGCACTGTGTGTGCACCCCCCTGGTCCGCTCCCAACTTGCCCTGTTCCTAACCCTGCAGGCCGGCACCAAGCTGAGGTACCTTCACTTCACCTTCTGCCCAGAAAAGACCTCAGCTCGCAGCGCGACTGAGCCAGCTCCACTTGGCCTTCCAGCAAGTTGGGCCATGGGTTGACAACTCATGTTGATTGAGAGCTCCTTGGCGACCCCTGTCGCCCCAGGGTCTGGCTACACCCAAAGAAGAAAGAAGGAGGGAAAAAAAAGGGAGTGAAAGACAGAGGAGAGGAAAGAAGGGAAGGAGGGGAGTCTGCCAGGACAGGCTTACTGAAAGAAAACTGGAAATTTGAGATATGTCCACTTCAATGAACTTGAACCATCATTTCCTATCTTTGCGTCTCCCTAGTCCCTCAGAAAGTCACTGAGCACCTCCTGTGGGCTGGCCCCACCCTGGGAGGTGCAGACACAGCGATGGATAGACCGCAGGCTGGAGATCCAGGCCCGGGGGCTACGGGTCCAGCAGAACTTCTTGGAGACCTTCTCCAGCACAGTTCTACTTTTTGTCATCCGTGTGTACTTGTTTGTTTATTTCTGCTCAAACAGTGGAAGACATCTTTTTCTTATCAAAAGGGCCACTGGTCTGCAGAAAAACAGAACAGATGAAGGCCTCAGGCCCTCAATGGGACATTTAATATAGGCTAGTGGATGGTGGTGGTACTGTTCATAGAAACACACTTGTTTTTAAAATTAGAAACAAGATGCACAGAACTCTACTCACATATGTAAGTAGGTTATAGAGTATGGCTAATGAAAGAAACATTGAGAAGAAAGGGATGAGGATGCACACGTAAGCCCTCAGCCATTGCTCATTCTGAGTCTCATTCTCAAACCACGTCTGCTTTGATTTAGCTGCACATGAGTGGAGAGGATAAAAGTAGGAGGCAGGAAAACCTCAGGAATACATTAGTAACTTCAGGGAAACGTTCATTAGAGTTTGGTCTGAGGAGCTCCCCTCCAGTGTGCACACAAATCAAGAAACAAGAGTCCCAAGTTCCCTGACCTGAGAATCATCCAGAGCCTGGACCATCCAGACCATGTGCATGATGGGAAATTCCCACCTCCGCTGCCCATCCTAGTGACCACCCTGCCCACATCAACTCTGGGGCTCCGGGCTAGAGGCTGAGGGTGGATTGCAGGGCTACCTTTTCTCCAGCTGGGCAGGAGCAGTTGATTGTCTTCAAATACCCGATCTGCTCACTGCCGGCGGTGGGAGGTTGTAGCGGCGGGGGTGAAGGCTCTCTCAGCACTGTCACCTGGCACTGGAAAGAAAGTTCTAAGAGTCGGAACCTGCTTCTTGTCCAGCACTGCTGCCTAGCAGGGGGCGCAGTCTGGACCTTCCTTAGAACTATGTAGGCAAAGGGAAGCCAGGAACCCTGAGGATGCTTGAAGGTGAGCACAGATGGCAAGTCATATCTGCCCGCATGTCCTGGCGCTGTGAGGCCTTGGAGTCAGACCAGCCTGGGCCAACCTAGTCTCAGCCATTTCACTGGCCTCTCAGCAACCTGCAGGAGCTGCGTGACCCCTCTGAGCCTCAGTGTCAATCTCTGCAGAATGGGGACAAGGGCGTTTCCACCATACTGCAGTGAGGGCTATTTACTGGGACATGTTAAAGCACCCCACTCAGTGTCTCGCACCCAGCAGGGGCTCAGTAGTGACTTATTTCCCCACCTCACCACTGCCCTCCCTCCCTTCCCTTTATTCTCTCACACTCTTATCTGTCCTCATCCCTTTCCTTTCTCCCCTCACCCTCTCTCTCAACAGTCAGGCCCATCTGACTCCAAATTCCCAGCTGTCTATGGTAGCGACCACCACTGTGAGCCTGTGCACCGTAATCGTCCTGAGATAGGGCACACTGACCAAGCACTCACTGTGTCCTGGGGACTGGCCCTACCAAGCATTGTACATGGACTTCCTCCCTCACCCTGGGAAGCAGGCTGTATGACTATTCCCAGCTTCCAAGCAGACTTGGAATTAGGATTCAGGAAAGAGGTTGGAGAGGCAGAGACTTGAAAAGGGGTAGCGGTGGAGAGATTCCAGGGAGAGGCCGATCCTGCATGGAGAGTTGGGGGCCAACTCTGGTGGGTCTTGCCCTTCCAAGGTCTGACCACAAGCTGCCTTCTCCTGTTTGGTTGACAAGCCCAGAGCACTGTGGCCTTCCTGTCCTCTGAGCACTGGTCAGCCCTTCCTAGGGACACGCTGCCAGTCTCTGCCTCTCCCTCCCCAGAGTTGGGCCTTATTGCTTGGCCTGTGGCCTCAGGTGGTGCTGACTGAGGTTAGGTTTTGCAGGACATCTGGTCCTGTCCAAAACATCCATAAGATACTTGGTCCACGCCAAAAGGTTCTTGAAATTTGGTCCTGTCCAAAATGTCTATACTGGTCCACACCAAAAAGTCCTTGATATTAGGTCATCTTTAGTCTGTGTAAAGCATCCATGGAGACATTGGGTTCATGCCAAAATGGATTCTGGATATTTGGTCCTGTCCAAAACCATTTAGCATGGACCAAATATGCTCATGGACATTTTCAACAGGACCAAATATCAAGGGCCTTGTGGACATGGACAAAATGTCTTATGGACCAAATGTCTTATAGACATTTCAGACAAGACCAAATGTCTGTTAATCAGGCTGGGACTGCAGCAGCCCCTTAGGAGGAGCTACATGTCCCTGTTCCCCCAACCCATACCCTGGTTGCCCAGGAAATGAAACCCTGGTGATGATCACCTGGCTCCCTCTCAGGTCACATTCTGATGGCAGGTGTCCCCCTGACCCCCGACTGACCATTTCTAGGCCCTGGACACCCCCTTCCCTTCCAAAGGCCAAGTTCCCATTTCTTCCCATTGTCTCCATGCAAGAGTCTTTGCTCACCGGGCCCGAGGGGATGTCACAACAAGTCTCCAATTCTGAGTGTCGGGAGTCACAGTAAATCACGATCCGCTGTAGATCAAACTGGAAAGAAAAACAAGGACACAAGATGAGTTTGGGGACTTTGGAATCCAGAAGCCTCCTTGGTTTCAGACAGGCTCTGCTCTGGCATCAGGTCCTACCTCCTCCTCGGGGTCCTTCCTGGTCTGATCCCAGGTGACTTTCTTCCCTGAGCTGAACTTCAGAGGGAGCCTGTGTCATCTGCTCACACGCTCCCCTTCTAAAGTGAGAGCCCCAAGTGCAAGGAGGTTCGTTGGCACAAACTGAAGTCGCTGCTTTATTCTACTCTGAATGTACCATGTCCTGCCCTCCATCACATCCGTCCTCCTCGCCCCTTTCACTGTCACTGCATTTATTTAAAGCTCCTTCCATGATGCTGTTGCAACAGTGTCTGAAAATTCAGCGAATCCCTATTTTCAACCTCTCCAGGCATCTCCACATGGTTGTTTAAATAAACTTTTTAAAATAAAAGTTTGCTCCTATCACCTCTAATACCACAGAATCTTAATATAACTTAAAGAGACCATGGTGTCAAATACACACACATGCACATACACAAAGGCATACACACATGTACAGTCTACAGACAAAGCCCAGGCCTTCTTGTAGGACGGTCAAGCCCTCCAAGACACAGCTCTGCCCACTGCCAGGTCCATTTCTCTTCATTCCACATGTGCACTCCATGACATCTGAGCTCACGGTTTCCCATGCCCATGTCTTTGTATGTGGTCCCTCTTCTAGAAAAGCCCCTGACAAACTAGCAAATTGTTAGTCACCTCTAAGACATGGAGCTTCATTCCTCTCCCCTTGAGTTAGGAGGGACTTAGTCACTTGCTTCTAATGACTAGAACATTGCAAAAGTGACAGCAGGTCACTTTCGAGATTAGGTGATAAAAAGACTGGCTTCTGCCCTGAGTGTGAGCTCTCTCTCCCTCTCTCTCTGTCTCATCACTCACCCTCGGGGTCACCAGCTGCCATGTTGTGAGCTGTCTTATGGAGAAACTCATGTGGAGAGGCACCAGGGCCACTTCCAGCAATCCACCAGCAAGAACTGTGGCCCTCAGTTCAACAGCCCACAGGAGGCTGCCAACAGCCACCTGAGTGAGCTTGCAGTCCCACGTGAGCTCTGAGATGACCCCAGCAATAGCCACCAGCTTGACGGCAACCTCATGAGACATCTGAGCAAGAACCGCCCAGCTTATCCACTCCCAGGGTCCCGAACCACAGATACTATGAGACAATTATGGTTGTTTTCATCCATTTTTCTTGTTTTGGAGGAGGGGCAATCTGCTATACAGCAACAGATAACTGTCAGGATGAGTTCATCGGGCCCTCTTCTCTACCGCGTTGCCACCTTACACATACAGCTAACATTGAACATAGCAGACTGTGCAATAATTCTATATTCGTGTGTCATCTTCCCTGTGGGTTCCCCATACTGACCCGTGCCCCTCAGACACTGAGCTCTGCCTGCCCACATGCTTTGTCTTCTCGGTTCCCAGTCTCCTCCTTCCTGCTGTCTGCAAGGTTGCTCCTCTCACCTTTCACCTCTGTAACCACCCACCCAAGCCTAGGCCCTCCTTGTCACTTGTTGCTGTGACACCTCATCCTGTGCACCTTCATAGCAGCACTCACCACATACGGGCATACCTCTCTTCATTGTGCTTTGCAGAGACTGTGTTTTTTTAACAAATTGAAGGTTTCTGGCAACCCTGCACTGAGCACGTCTATTGGTTGCCATTTTTCCAACAGCATTTGCTCACTTCGTGTCTCTGTCACATTTTAGTAATTCTCGCAATATTTCACATTTTTTCATTATTATTATATTTGTTATGGTAGTCTGTGATCAGTGGTCTTTGATGTTACTATTGTAATTATTTTGGGCACCACGAACCGCCATATAAGATGGTGAATTTACTTAATAAATGTTGAACGTTGTTTCGACTTCTCCACTGACTAGCTGTTTCCCCATCTCTCTCCCTCTCCTTGGGCCTCCTCATTCCTTGAGACACAACAATACTGAAATTAAGCCAATTAATAACCCTGCAATGACTTCTAAGTGTTCAAGTGAAAGGAGGAGGTACAGATCTCTCACTTGAAACCAAAAGCTAGAAATGATTAAGCTGAGTGAGGAAGGCACGTTGAAAGCTGAGACAGACCCAAAGCAAGGCCGCTTGTGCCAAATAGGTAGTCAAGCTGTGAATGCAAAGGAAAGTTCTTGAAGGAAATTAAAAGTGCTACTCCAGGGAACACACAAATGATAAGAAGGCAAAACAGACTTATTGCTGATATGGAGAAAGTTGCAGTGGTCTGGACAGAAGATCAAACCAGCCATGACATTCCCTTAGGCCAAAGCCTAACCCAGAGAAGGCCCTAACTCTCCTCAATTCTATGAAGGCTGAGAGAGGGGAGGAAGCTGCAGAAGAAAAGTCTGAAGCTATGGAAAGACATTCCATGCACATGGATTGGAAGAATAAACATAGTTAAAATGTCCATACTACCTAAAGCAATCTACAGGTTCAACACTATCCCAATCAGAATCCCAATGACATTCTTTACAGAAATTGAACAAAGAATCCTAAAATTCATAGGGGAAACAAAAGACCCCGAATTGCTAAAGCAATCCTGAGAAAGAACAAAGCCGGGGGCATCACAATCCCTGACTTCAAAGCATACTACAAAGCTACAGTGATCAAAACAGCATGGTACTGGTACAAAAACAGGTGTACAGATCAATGGAACAGAATTGAAAGCCCAGAAATAAAACCACACATCTATGGACAGCTAATCTTCGACAAATGAGCTGAGGGCCTACAATGGAGAAGAGAAAGTCTCTTCAACAAATGGTGCTGGGAAAACTGGACAGCCACATGTAAAAGAATGAAAATTGACCATTCTTTTTCACCATTCACAAAAATAAACTCAAAATGGATCAAAGACCTAAAGATTAGGCCTGAAACAATAAGTCTTCTAGAAGAGAATATAGGCAGTACACTCTTTTTTTTTTTTTTAATTAATATCATGATAGTTAACAACCTTGTGAAATTACAGTTGTACATTATTATTAATCATGTTGTAGGTGCACTACTTCACCTTTAGCGCCCTCCCCCAACCCCACCTTTCCCCTGGTAACCACCAATCAGTTCTCTTTGTCTATATGTTAACTTCCACCTATGAGTGGAGTCATATAGAGTTGGTCTTTCTCTGTCTGGCTTATTCCACTCAACATAATACCCTCAAGGTCCATCCATGTTGTTGTGAATGGGATGATTTTGTCCTTTTTTATGGCTGAGTATTATTCCATTGTATATATATACCATATCTTCTTTATCCAATCATCAGTTGCTGGGCACTTAGGTTGGTTCCACGACTTGGCTATTGTGAATAATGCACTGCCTAAGTACACTCTTTGACATCAGTTTCAAAATAATCTTTTTGGACACCCTAACCCCTCAGACGAGGGAAACAATAGAAAGAATAAACAAATGGGACTTCATCAGACTAAAGAGCTTCTTCAAGGCAAGGGAAAACAGGATTGAAACAAAAAAACAGCCCACTAATTGGGAAAAAATATTTACAAGTTATTTATCCGACACAGGGTTAATCTCCATAATATATAAAGAACTCGCACAGCTCAACAACAAAAAAATCAAACAACCTGATCAAAAAATGGGCAGGGGACATGAACAGACATTTCTCCAAAGAAGATATACGGATGGCCAATAGACACATGAAAAGATGCTCATCATCACTAATCACCAGTGAAATGCAAATCAAAACTACACTTAGATATCACCTTACAACCATTAGAATGGCAAAAATATCCAAAACAAAAAGTGACAAATGTTGGAGGTGTTGTGGAGAAAAAGTAACCCTCATACACTGTTGGTGGGAATGCAAACTGGTGCAGCCACTATGGAAAACAGTATGGAGATTTCTCAAAAAATTAAAAATAGAAATACCATATGACCCAGCCATCCCACTACCGGGTATCTATCCAAAGAACTTGAAATCAGCAATTCCAAAAGTTCCATGCACCCCTATGTTCATCGCAGCATTATTTACAATAGCCAAGCAACCTAAGTGCCTATCAACTGATGATTGGATAAAGAAGATATGGTATATATATACAATGGAATACTACTTGGCCATGAAAAAGGATAAAATTGTCACATTCATAACAACATGGGTGGACCCTGAGGGTATTATGTTAAGTGAAATAAGTCAGATAGAGAAAGACGAACTCTGTATGACTCCACTCATAGGTGGAAGTTAAACATATAGACAAAGAGAACCGATTGGTGGTTACCAGGGAAAAGGGGGCTGGGGGGAGGGCATAAAGGGTGAAGTGGTGCACCTACAACATGACTAACAATAACGTACAACTGAAATTTCACAAGGTTGTAAACTATCTTAATCTTAATTAAAAAAAAAAAGTCTAAAGCTAGCAGAGATTGATTCCTGAGGTTTAAGGAGAGAAGCCATCTCCATAACATAAAAGTGCCAGGTGAGGCAGCAAGTGCTGATGGAGAAGCTGCAGGAAGTAACCAGAAGATCTAGCTAAGATCATTAATGAAGGCGGCTACAGTAAACAGAAGTGTTTCAGTGTAGTTGTAACAGCCTTATATTGGACGAAGATGCCGTCTAGGATCTTCCTAGCTAGAGAGAAGTCAATGTCTAGCTTCAACGCTTCAAAGGACAGGCTGACTCTCTTATTAGGGGTTAATAAAGCCTGTGACTTTAAATTGAAGCCAATGCTCACTTACCATTTTGCAAATCCGAGGGCCCTTAAGAATTATGGTAAATCTACTCTGCCCGTGCTCTATAAATGGAATAACAAAGCCTGGATGACAGCATATCTGTTTACAACGTGGTTTACTGAATATTTTAAGCCCACTACTGAGAATTAGTGCTCAGAAAAAGAGATTCCTTTCAAAATCTTACTGCTCATTACCAATGCTCCTGGTCACCCAAGAGCTCTGATGGAGATGGACAACGAGATTAATGTTGTTTTCACGCCTGCT